GACAAGCATCTCCAGGTGACACCAGTGGCAGTGAGACCCAACATCACTCTCCATCCAGCAAGTACAGTGGCCTCAGAGGCTCCCAAAACTCCTCACTGCAGTACAGAGCTCCCTCCAATGCCTCACCAGCATCCCCATCACCCCACCAAGCATCCTGCCTGCTGTACAGAGGGGGAAGGACAAAAGCCAAGACTCGAATTTCAGGGCAGCATATGGCTCCACGAAGAACCAGCCCAGAGGTCCCTGAGCAATGCCAGAGTAGAGCAAGCACCAGCCATGCTGAGGACACTTTCAGGAGCCTGAGATGCTGTGCACTGAGGCATGACAAACACCTGACCCCTCCAGACTGAATATCCCCTAGGGAGGCACCAAGAGGAAGGTAAGCCCTGGTACCCAAGACCTGCACCCTTCAGCTGCAATGAGGGGAGCAGAACCTGCTTGGCTCCTACCAAGCAGTGCTTGGCACCTGTTCTTCAGGCTGCTGAGGATGGGAAGTGGCCCAAACACCGTTCAACCCCTTCAGCAACAGAGAGGAAAGCCAAGATAGGAAAATTTGTCACAGAATAAAGAAGAGAGCAGCAAGGGGTGTCAAGAAAATTGGCTGGAAGAAGCCCAGAGAGGTGCCACCACCAGTACCCGGCTGTTGGAAGATGGTGGCCCAGAGCATACCTGCAGCAGGGCCAGGTGCTCTCCTGAACATGGCCCAGCCTGTGCATTACCCTTGGGAGCAAGTCATGCAGGTCCCCAGCCCACACCATGTCTGCTCAGATGCTGCCTACAGCTTCAAATCCTTTGGGTCCTGCTGTGCCAAAAAAGCTGTTGAAACACCAGTCCCAGGTGGCAAGTTCCTCCACAGGGATCTAAGAACAGACAGCTCTTCCTTTCCATCCAGCCCCAGTGGAATCACCAGTCTAGCAAGGAAGGAGCCCATCCCAGCCCTTCATACTCTTGGCCAAAAGCACTGGTGGGAGAGGGGTGTTACCTGACATGGGAACAGAGGTCTCCGTCACTCTGAGACTTGCTGAGGACTTGGGGGAGCTTGTGGTCATCAGAACAACAAAGCTGCATCTTCCCTGGAAAGCCCCATCTCCTGTTGCCCAAGCAGATAGCCCTGTGTGTCAAAGGTGGGGCAAGATCCCAGCACGGCTCTGGAAAGAGGAGCCTCCAACAGCTGGGCAGAGGTGTCAGAGATGGGTGGGCGCCCCAGCTCACCCCACCATGACACAGCACGGGGGAAGCTCAGCTCCTAAGTGGTGTGATGCAGAAGAGGTTAAAAGGATCAGCCAAGGCAAGCAGGGTGTTTGTCCAGCAGCCAGCCTTTCCCAAGTTTGAGGGAGCTCCCACCAGCCTTCAGGGCACACACTGCCACATATCACAAATCTGTTTGCTCAGCCCCAGCCAAAGCAGCTGGGATGGCACAGAGCAAGGCTCATTGACCAAGGCATGTCTTGCAGCCAGGATGGGCCCCAAATCAAGAGGAAAGTGCACCAGCAGCCCCAAGGCAGGGTGGGGGACAGGCAGGGCACTGCCCCAATACCTTGTAAGCAGCACTGCCAGCTCCCACCCCCTGCTGGGGTCCCACCGCTCTGTGGGGGCGGGGGGCATGGAGCACAGAACAGCTTCATCTTCTCAACTACTCCATAAAACAGACTGACAGTGTTTTTCAGGCCTAAGGTGATCTGTGCAGTGCCCTGGGCCAATTTTTTTAATAAAAATCTAATCTTGCCCAAGGTGCTGGGGAGGTACCCCAGCAGTTGCTCTGTGCCCACCTGCACTTTGCAGCCATTAGAAACCGCCCATAAACAGAGCTTTGGGGCTAAGCCACCTCAGTGACACATCTTGACGGTGCTAGGAGCTCTGCCTGGGGACAGGGTAGTTGTGCCCAAGAGTTGGCCCTGCCCTGCTGGCCTCCTGTGCTTTTTGGGATGGGGAAGGGGCTGTCCAAGAGGTGCCATAGCCAAGTGGAGCAGTCAGCCCAGGTAGAGACCAGGTTCTCCAGGGAGACCCTGGGACCACCACCAGCAGTGCAGAACATCCCTCCCCTCCTACTCCAACCCTCACACAGGGACAGCACTGGAGCAGAGCCCCGGAATGTTCTGGTGCAGCAGAGGAGGGAGACTGAACCAAAGGCTTTGTGAACACAGCTCCTGCTGACCACCACGGGGCATCAGCAGGGCACCTCAGATACACGAGCAGGCAGGGGTGTGGCAGACCACACGGACCACCCACCACCAGGGAATGCTCTTCCTCCACTGGTGACAGTAGTGAGCTGCTCCCATCCTATTGCAGGTCCTCTGCTGCCTCAGCAGCCACTGCCCTCAGAGCAAGGCAGAGACCAGGGGTTCAGCCACCCTGTGCTGGGATGTGGCAGCCAGGAGAGATCAGCTGCTCTCTGTGCAAGAACACCCTGGGAAGCAGTGTTGGAAGAGGAGAGGAGCTTGAGGAGGTGAAGAGCACCTGGATGAAGGAGGTGAAGAGCACCTGGATGAAGGGGAGCCCCCAAAGAAAGCCCAGCTCAGGCACAGGCTTGGCCTTCTCCCATCATCTCTTTCCTTCCAAAGGGCCAAGGGCTCTTCCCACAGTTATCTTCTTCTGCTCTGCAGTCCCAGGAGGGACCTGTTTGGGTCCAAAGTATGAAGAGCCATGTTCCCCAGGGTAATGATCACACCTTGTCACCAGTTTTGAGGAGGACAGAGTAGTTTCATTGGAAGAGACCTACAACAACCATCAGTCCAAATGAGGGATGACCACCTCTTTTGAGCAAGCTCCCAAGGAACCACCCCTTTCCCTTCACTGCTGCCTACCCGATCCCAGCAGCAAGCCCTTCCAGACATCCAGGAAGTAGGATACAGCATCAGCTGTGATGGAGCTGAAGGAATACAGAAAAAGGAGAAGCTCATTGCCAGCACAATCACTGTGCCGTGACCAAAGTGTCACCAATCTTTCACGAAGCAGGGGGACACCTCCCTCGGCACACAGCAGCAGCTGGCCTGGGGTGTGCTGGGAAGGATCTGCTTGCCAAGACTTGCTAGGGAGCTGGGACCTGCAGGTGACTGGCACAGGCTGGGTGAGCCTGCCTGGAATGCACAGACACAGAGTAGCTCTGCTGTGCTACAGCTGCCCCAAGTCCCCAGCACCAGCTCACAAGATGAAAGGGGAAATCATGAAACCAAAGACACAGACCTAGGCCGCTGCCCCCAGCTACACCTGGGGCACCAAGGCCAACAGCAAAAGCAAGGGCTCACTGCAGAGGTGGCACATGTCCTCCTGCTCCTCATGCCACCCCAGTGTGGGGAACTGCAACGGGGACTTGCATCCCCATGTAAGGGCAGAGCTTCCTGCAGGGCATCACCCAGGAGCCGAACACTGCCACGTCAGCGGTGGCTGGTGCCCAGCCTCCCATGCAGTGTTCCTCGTGCTGAGCCCCAGCATGGAGCCCGCAGCACCCTGACCCCATCCTGCAGGGAAACTGAGGCACACAGCAATGCAGGAGCACATGTAATCCACCACTGAAGTTGGGCCTGCACCTCTGCCTCAACCAATTCCAAAACTGGTCATCCAGCACCCAAACTCCTCAGCATACAGAGACAGGAGAGGAAACCCAGTCACTCTCCTTACTCTCCCCACAGACATGCACTCCAGGGTACGGGTGGAGTTGGCATCTCACTGGATGCACAAAATGCCTGGAGGAGGAGAGCTGGTGAGACACCAGATGGTGAGAAACTGCTCATAAAACATGAGGACCTGCCCTGTTCAGAGTCAGAGACATGTCTAGCCCTGAGGAGCCCATCACAGCAGCCTATCACAGCCCTCAGCAGGGACATGGATCCCCTATCTGCATCTGTGCCCACAGAGTCACAGAATCTCCTGAGTGGGAAGGGACCCAAAAGGATCACCGAGTCCAGCTCCTGGCCCTGCACAGGGACAACCCCAACAATCCCACCATGTGCCTGAAAGCGTTGCCCAAATGCTCCTTACACTCTGTCAGGCTTGGGGCCATGACATGACCACTGCCCTGTGGAACCCGTTCCAGTGCTTGACCACCCTCTGGGGGAAGAACTTGCACCCACTGCCTCATGTGGGCAGGAGCCAAACCCACGGGCAGCAGGGTTCCACTGCCACATGGCCCTGTTGCCTGGGAAAGAGCCAGGACAGCAGGGTGCAGCTATGGAGTTCCTCATTCCCCATTTTTAGATGATGAAACCGTGCTCCCATCTCAGTCCTGGGCAAGCATCATACTGGAGTATAGCTCTGCCCAGGCTCACCTCACAGGTCAGACAGCAAAAGCAAAAGCCAGACCTTGTCCTCCCAACCATCACTAGCCCCACACTGGCTGCAGGATGCACAGAAGCAGCTCCTCACATCTGGTTTCACATGGATGTCACCGTGCTGTGCAGTGGGGCCCTGGAGTAGAGCAGCCCTTCCAGCCAGAAGAACCGTGGGGCCTCTGAGAAAGCCTGGACCACAAGCCCTTAACTCTTTCAGGCATCACAGCTATTTAATCCTGCAGCTCAGACCTCTCCTGTACTTTGCTCCCAGCTGCCCAGCAGTGCCAGAGGCAAGTCACGCCAGCTGTGCCCAGCCTCATGAGCCCAAAGACCTGAGCCAGCAAAACACCACAGCTAGTTTTTAAACACACCGCCTTCCTCAGATCCTCCATACAAAAGATGGCATGGAAAGCTAGAGCATGGAAACTCAACACCACAAGTAATATCCCAAAGCCGCTCCGTCAGCAGACAAGGAGTTGGGCAGCCCATAGGAGCCTTTCTGTTAGCAAAGGGGCCCAAGTTCCAACTAAACCAGGAAACAATCCCAACACAAAGCCAGAAGCCCAAGCCCAGCAGTGTGGTGCTTTGGTGGGAGCAGGCTAGATTTCCAGTCCTGCTGGGGGTTCCTGGCAGACAAGCCTCCATGCTGAGCAGCCCGTTCTACACTGCAAAACCCACTCAGCCTCATCTGGGATCTGGAAAGGAGAACAAAAGCTTTCAGGATAAACTCACGCTGCTTCCGGGGGCTGCTCTCAGTGCTCGGTTCAGGCACAATTCAGAACCTGCAAAGAAGAAATCAGATTTGGTTAAAAAGAAGATGATAGCAAGTTCTCAGAAGGACAGCTACAGCTGTCACAAGAGGGTGCCTGCCTAGCTCGAGCACTGTGTTTAAATTCCATACAGATCTCCTTGCTGGAGAATGGAAGCTCAAGATCGTGTCAGATGTCATTTTGCTCTCCAAGAGCCTGATGTGAAGGCCAGCTCTGTTCATTCCAGGATAAAAGCAAATATTTACTACAGCAGTGCTGCAGAGCCAACACACCTCCAAGAAGTGACACTGATCCCCTGGGTGTGACCCAAGTGTTCTCCTTTCAGGCCATCTGTACCACCCCATTGTCATCCATCCCTCCGGCTCGTGGCATGGCCTCCACAGTGACACCAAGGGTAACATCTGGTCAGCAGGGCTTTGGCTGCAGGCAATGATGCAGGTCAGTGATGCGGGACCTACACAAGGCAGTCCCAATCCCTCATCCATGGAGTCACTGGCGGGTCTGGCACACCAGGAGGAAAATGAGCAGTTTGAACAGGAACAGCCCCCATCCTGCAACAGCATTTTCAGGGCCACTTTTTATATGACAACTGCATCTAACAGGAGAGAAGAATCTGCCCAGCAGGCACTACAGTGACATGGAAGAGGAAGCACGGTCTCACAGCACAGCAGGGATACCTCCCACTTTTCCAAGGTTTAATTTTCAAACATACTTGGACAGGCAAGGCCCAGCCTCCCACCAGTGCAGAAGCAAAGCAGGCAGGATGACACACCTATGCAAAGCTCCCACCTCTCCCATGGCTTCAGAAAAATCCTTTCACTCTCCACAAGCAAACAACAGCTGTGTGTGGCCAACAGCCTGCCCTGACACTGACCCACAGCAGCTTTCCCAAAGAGGCACAAAAGCTGCTCCACTTTCCATGTGGACCAAGTCCTCACACAGCATGGCAACATCAGCAACTGACCCACAGCTGGGCAGCTCCCCTGTGGGCTCTGGCCAGACACACAAGGATCTGCGGAGCTCTCTCCCTCCTTTGGCCTCTGTGGCCCTGCTCCTTCTCTGTCAAGCCCAGCAATTTCTGTGGGTACTCTGTGTTGCTCTCAGGTTTGTAAGCTCAGCTGTCTCCTATCCCAGCTCAAGGGCGAGTCAACAGAAGCCAAGCAGAGATGGGCAGGCAGGTTCACAGCCAGGTACAAAAGCAGCCACCTTTCCACAGACCCAGAAGAAGAGGTATGACACGTGGGGCTCCCAAGCCTGCACCCTGTTCCTCCTGCAAGGGAGGATGGAGGATGCAGCCACCAAAGGCAGGGCAGTCGCACTCGACACTCCCCAACCTGCCTGTGTTGATGCTGTCACACAAAGCCCTTGTGTTCTCCATCAGCCACTGACTGTGGCTTCCCTGAGTGAGCAGCATTCACTGGGACTGACTATTATGGCAGGCTCCAAGCTATAGACATCAATTAGTATCATTAATGAAGTGTTCTGAGAATACAGGCAGTGGGAGCAAGACCTTCCCCAACCCTGCTCACTTCTGCCTGCAAACAGTAGCTCCCCATCACACTCCTGCAAGAGAAAATCCATGCTGGATTGTATCCTGACCTCCTGCCACGCAGCTTTGCCAGCACCAGGCCAGTGAGTACACCATCGCAGCCACAGACACTGCCCCAGGCTCGAAAACATCCCACAGTGACCTACATTGTCACAACATCATCATCACAATCATCCAGCCTGGTCCTGATGGGTCAGTGTGAGTGCTGGCTGGGGAATAGGCGCTGGGACACGGCAGCAGACAGATGAAGGCTCCAGTCTGTGCCTAGGGCAGAGCCCAGCTGGCACCATGGGCCAGCTCAGCTGCTGGCTGGGCTTAGGAGGGAGCCCTGCACTGGCCCAGCTCACTCAAATCTGGGCCAGCATGTTGCAAACATGCTGATGGGTCAAGCATGGATTCGCACTGTCCCCTTCACACGAGCACCAGAGCAGGAGCACACCCGGAGCAGGGAGTGCAGCAGCACATATGGAGAAGCAGTCCAGCTGCGCACAGCTTTGCCCACTCAGCATCACAGCAGCTCAGTGAGCCTAGAGGGAACAGCCCAGCCAGCGCCCAGCAGGAGAGGCCCATAGACCACACCACCATGGGCTTCCAGGCTGCCCTGCCCACACCCACAGCCAGCAGCAGCGCACCAGGGTGAGATTGAGCTCCAAAGCTCTTACAGCAATACTGAGGGGGCAGATAATGCTCCCAAAACACAGCATGGGCAGTTGCATCTTCTCTGCATCCTGTGGTACTTCCCACAGTCACCTGAAGTCACCTGCATTTCTTACAGATAGGTCACACATGAGACCAAGGTGACCAACAGGGATTTATAATCATCATATAGAATCATAGGATGGCGTGAGTTGAAAGGGACCTTAAAGTTCATCTTGTTCCACAGCCTTCCACTAGACACCTTCCACTAGACCGGGTTGCTCAAAGCCCAGTTCAACCTGGCCCTGGACACTTCCAGAGATGCCATGCTACCATACCATAGCACTGGAAAACATTCTTTGGTTCCCTGAAGAACAGTTCCAGTGATTTGGCAGAGGTAACAGCCCCTGCCCCACATACGGATGCACATACCCAGAGCCAGATCAGTCCTCACAGGAGGTTTCTCTTGTTCTGGCCAGTTCACTCCACAGGACCTTCATCTATCAGGACTTGCAGTAAATCTCCTAAAGGGAAACACTGCTGAGGATTCAGGCTGGAATTTTCCCCCACCAAAGTTCACCATCAACTTTAGGTTTGCATCCTTGTCAAAAACGGCACCTTGTCAAAAACGGTCAGCGAGCAGCAGACCCAGCTGTACGACCACCCCTCTCCCACCCTGAGACCTTTGCTACGCCCCTGTCAGCACCATTAAAGCAGATCCCCAAAGTTCTATCAGGTACTACACCACCCTGTGCTCTGCAAGGCTTCTGCCGGCACAAACACTGCCAGATCCATAGCACACCTAATTAGAAAATCCAGTTGCTTCTCTTATGCATAGAGTAGTGCTTCCCATAGGATCATTAAGGGGAAAAACCTGCAGGTGTCCTTCACATGTGGCCACCTGGGTGATGGTCCCCTGTGGATGGGCCTGAGGAGGATGCGAAAGGCTGGTCCATCCCCCTCCCACCCTGCAGCCGCCTCCGGCCTGGCCTTCGCTGCTGGCACTCGCCCTGACAAGTCCGATTAGCTGATTACAAAGGGGAATGTGTCATTTCAAACACACAATCAGATTTCCCGGCCCTTCTGCCCATAACAAAATGTCTCATGAAATGGCTCATTCTGCTCTCCCATAGAAACGTGTTTCCCTGCAAAAGCCTGATACGAGGAGAGGAGGCAGAAAAAGGAAAAGGCAAAGCTAAAAATATCATCTGAAAGATACCACGACAGCAACAGATTCACAGGAAAACGAGGTGGGAAGGGGGCTGCGAACGTGTTAAGATCCTGTTTAATCTCTCCCCAGCCACCTAAAAAATGCATCGAAGGCAGAAATGATACCTCAACATTTCCTTTGTGCGAGAGCTGACTCCACCCTGTGTTTTCCTCTCCATCTGATGCTCAGGGAAGGATACCAGCAGACATCTCTGTTGCTGCCAGGCAGCGAGGGGCCCTGGCAGTGGGTTAGTAGGAGCAGAGGGAGGAAGGAGTCGGTGGGAGGAACCTGGCAGCAGGGCCTGGCTGTGAATCCTCATTCAGCATCATCTCAGACGCAGGATGAGCTTTACACTAGCACAGCACCTGCTCCTGGTTTCCACCCCATCGCCAGCACCTTGCAAAGGAGCGTTGAGACTGAGGAGGCATCAGGGACATATCTCAGTGTACTGAGATGGCCACAGGGTCCAGTTACAGCTGGTGGGCAGAGGGCTGGTCTCTGAACAGGGGATGGACCAACCTGCTACCTCATTTCATCACTACAAAGAGGCCAAGTGCCCAAGCAAAACTGCTGACCTGCTGGCAGCTGCAGATCTGCAGCTTCAGCCTCATTTATCTCATGTTTTGAGCACAAAAGAATCAGCCCAGTCTCCTCTTGGCACTGTGATCCTGCTGGACCCGGGATGCTGCGCACCCAGAGCCAGCTGCCCCCAGACACTGCAGCTCCCACACAGGGCAGACCCCGCCTGGGACACTGCTAAGCCCCTTGGGGAGCCAGGATTGCCCTACAGAGGACAAAACCCAGACCATCAGCAGAAGATGAAAAGAAAATCCTCTTCCAGAGCATTATAATCCAGATTTTAAGGCTCTGTCTGCTGCTCCCACCCCTGAGGAGTCTACATGAGCATGTTCATGGGCGTGCGCACACCAGGCAGGGTACTGTCAGCTGCATTCAGAGCCCCCTCAGCTGTGTATTGGGACAAGCAGACATGAGAATTTGTACCAAGTCACCCATGTCTGCTTCTCCCAGTACATGTCTGACCCTTTCCACACAGTCCCACAGCTCCCTGCCAAGTGCAAGGAAAGCGAACTTTGACTCCTGTCCCAGTCATACAAAACTTCAGCCCAACAGCTTGTCTTGGGATTAGATATTAGGGAGAAGTTCTTCCCTGTGAGGGTGGGGAGATCCTGGCACAGGTTGCCCAGAGGAGCTGTGGCTGCCCTATCCCTGGAAGTGTCCAAGGCCAGGTTGGATGGGGCATGGAGCAACCTGGTCTAGTGGAAGGTGTCCCTGCCCGTGGCAGTGGGATTGGAATGAGATGAGCTTTAAGGTCCCTTCCAACCCAAACCCATGATTCCGTGCCACTACGCACCCCCAAACAGTTCACCTCCTTGGAGCAAGGCAGGGCGGAGGAAGCAGCTGTCATCCAAGACAAGGGACATCCATGGAGGCTGGGCCCAGCACCCTGCTCTGTACCAGGGACACACTGTGCGGACAGGAGACATGCTGCAGAAAGCAGACACTGCTCCCATGGTGAAGGACATGGTTGCTCAGATCTCCCACTCTTCACTTTAAGGCACACGTAGGTCCTGGACAACCCACAAACATCCACCCAAGGGCTGGAAAGAGAGAAAGGATGGATCTTCAGGCTTAAGGAAATACTGCAACATGCCTCCTCCATCAGACAGTCTCTTTCCACCATCCTTTCCACCACCTGTAATTCAGTCAAGGTGATGATGAAGGACTGGACAGGTCAGCATGGTGCCTCACCAGCAGCAGTGATGCTAGACTTTATAGACTCAAGAAGTACAGGGCAGGGGCTGGGAAGGAGTTCCCAAGGGAGACTCTTCTCCAGCTTCCACACATACAACCCCTTCCAGGCTCAAGCGACAGCATAAGCCAACAGTGACTGTGGGTCCAGGCTCAAAGCCAACGACCCCTGACAGAAGGAGAGAATCGGGGTCAGACCCTTCACTAAGCACCACAGACCCGCACAGACTTCCTCGGTGCAACCACCCCAGCTCCGACAAATCCAAACCTGCTGACTCAGAGCCACCGACTGCTGTAATGAGAACAATAAGCCATGCAGCCGTCACTGTCACAGCCTCAGCACAAGCACATTTTAGGTGCCCGTATGAGAGTCAGGTATTTGTAGCTGCACAGGTCTCCCTGCACAGGAGCTTCCAGAATCCAGGGACTCAGGAACTGCCGCTGTTTTGTGTTTCTTCTTTGCCATCTCTGCTTAAAACAGAGCTCCAGGCTCAACTTAGACCTCTAAGTGGCAGGCACCCCATGAAAGTCTACTATACACAGGCCTTACAGCCTCCCACGCTGCTCTGTGCAAAGCTTAAGCCCAATACTCAGCCCATTTCTTTGCACACACTTGCTTCCCCATCGGCATCCCAGCTGTCACTCTGGCACCATAGCACTGTGCCCAAGGCAGCAGGGAAATATCCCAAGTCCACGGCCAAAGAGAATTAAGGCAAAGGACACTCAAGTGATGTCTGCGAGTCTGAGCAGGAAGCTCGGAGCAAGCCTGGGACCAGCCAAGCTCACTCCCTGCCCTTTAATGAACAGGTCATTCTCTGTGGCTTCCTAATTTAGAAATCCTAATTAGTTATGGGAAAGATTTCTCCTTTTAGGGACAAAATTAGTCAGGCACCTGACTGGTCTGTCTGTCTCTGAAAGCCTCCTCTAGGAAAGCAGAAGTCCTCAGCAGTGCTGGAGCAAGGAGGAAGGCAGGCAGCCTGGAGTGATGCTGGAGTCACTCACGGGACAAGGGCTTGGTGCTGCCGGCAGAAAGCCCAAAACATTATTCTGTAAATCAATGAGAGATCCAGCTCCTCACCAGGACCAAGGTCATCACCCAGAGCTTATCAGGGAGATAACTGCCTGGGGGAAGAAAATTGACTTCTACGATTTTCCCCATTCTACACTGCAGTGACTCCTTCAGCTGACCCAGCCACCCCTCTTGGCCACACAGAAAACACACACCAGAAGACACTTACTCTGAAAGGTTGTTATGGTGGTGGCAACCACGGCAGCAGCCCAGGAAAGGGGGCCCAGCATGCTCCATGTCTGCACTGGACAGGGGATTTACCAAAACCTTCCCCTTCCAAATGCCAGGAACATGGGCTCTCTGCTCCACTCATGTCTTTAAGCCCAGAAAAACAACACTGGACTTCAAAAACCCTTTCTAGATGCTTCCTCCAAACCAAAACCTAAGAGATTTGGAAAATGCTAATTTCTCAGAAACTGATAAAAATAAAAAATCCTGTACAGTTCTAGGCACAGCATCAACAAGACACCAAAGCAGCAAGAGAAGAACCCACCCCCTGCAGCCAAAGCCAGCTTACCCCAGCACAAACACAGGCTCTGTGTTCCACAGCCCTGCCCAGGGCTCTCCTGGAAACAGCAACTGCTGCTTTTATGGCGGTGTCACCAGCTGAAATCCTGGCCAAAGCAGTTGACATTGCCCCATCCCCGGGGCCAAGAGGAGAAGAGATGAGAATAGTCTCCTCTCAGCAGGGCTGTGGGAGGGAGGCGGCTCACGCCACATCAAGGGATGGCCACACCATGGTCCTTGACTCCAAACATGGAGCTTTATCCCTTTGTAGGGAGGAACACTCTGGACATGTGCTACAACAGCCAGGACCAAGCCGCGGCTTCCAGACCATGCCCTGCATCCCTGCACACAACAGAGACGGGTCCTCATGGAGAGCACCCTGGGGAGCCCCCCATAGACAGGCTTCATGCCTACCAAACCAGACTCTAAACCAACAGAATTAAAGAGCAATTCCCTTCTTCAAGGACCATTGCCCAAACCCAGCCGACCTTCCCTCAGTTCCAAACTCATGTGATGGCAACAAGGACATACAGCTGAAGGCCAGCAGAGCAGCTCTCCAGCCTTCACAGCCGTGGTCCAAGGCGCCTGACACCAAGAGTCCTCCCGTGGGACACAAAAGGATGCAGAGACTCCTCAAGAGCAGACCGTGTAACAATGTGCTTCCCATATCTCCAGTGGTTTGGAAGCAAAAATCCCCTTGGACAAGTCTAGCATGAGAAAGCTGGAGGGAAAGTGCCAGCTAAGTGTGGGAAGAGGCTTATGCATGGGCTGATCTCTCTGAGGATGCTGGAGAAGCCACACCTCATCTACAGCAATGGAGAACCAGCTGATCAGGAGTCACCTCACACCATCCACAGATGAATCAAATATAGCTTTGCTATCGCCTGCAGCACATTGTGACTATCCAGCCACGCACACCCTGACCATTGTTTGCCCACAGGAGGGTTCCCACCGTGACAGGCTGAGGGCTGAGCACACTAGAGGGGAACAATATCCCGAGAAACAGCCAGAGAAAACGAGATAGGAAATACAGAAACCACTGATGGGGAAAGGGCCACGCAGGTCTTCTAGTACGATCTCCCGGGTAACCAGCCTATGGAGAAAATGCTGAGCTCAAGGATACCTCTAGAGCCCACCTCCTGCCATATGACAGTACTCCAAAAATAACCACAGAAATATGCGAGGACCCATTCCAAGTTGTTCCTGGCTCTCTCCAATTCTCCCTCTAATGTAAATCATCTCCCTCAAATCGCAGGCCGGCAGTTCAATGTGTTACAGCAGCTCGGGGCTACGGATCCCCGGGGCCGGCTCATCCTGCCCTAAGGACCCGGCTGCCTCTGCTGCTTCCCCGCACTCCGCTCTGCTCCTTGGCGGGTGGAAGCGCGGTCCTACCCACACCCTATGCCATCGGACCCCCCTTGGGAGCCGCGCCCCGGCGGGAGCATCCCGGCAGGACACGGTGCGGAATGCGCCGGTGCCGGGAAGGGGAGGCCCGGCTTGGAACAGCTTTCCCGGCGGTGGGGCTGCAGCCCTGCCCGCAACCTGCCCGCCTCTCCCCCGCAGGCACAGCACCGCACCTGGGGCTGCCCAGCCCCGCACCCCCGCGCCCCCCGCACTCCTCCGGCTCACCTCTGCTCTGCCCGCTCCGTTCCGCCGCCGTCTACCGGGCGAGGCCCCACGCCACAGCGGCCGCTGCCCGCAACCCTGCCCGCCCTGCCCGCCCTGCCTGCTGCCTGCCCGCCCTGCCCGCTCCTGCCCGCCGTGCGGCGGGAGCGGCGCAGCGCGGGGCGGGGCGGGACGCGCCGCCGCGGAGGGGGCGGGAACGCCCCGCCCCCGCCGCACCGGAGCCGCCCTCGGGCCGCAGCGGAGCTGCGGGGGCTGCGGGAAGTGTGGGGATGTGCCGGGCACTGTCCGCCCCCGAAGCACTGGGGGCCACCGAGGCAGTTCCCAGGGACGTCTCGCGTGATCCTCCGCCCACGGATAGGGGCCCACAGAGACACCTGGAGTGTCGTCCCAGACTCCCCATCCTTGCAGAGCCTCCTTCTGCCACCCCCGCCCTCACCCCCGGGCCCCGGGCGCAGGACATGCGACGAGTTCTCCAGCTCCCAGGGTCCTTCCCGGAGCATCCCGGGAAGCCCACTTGCTGTGCACAGCCTGTTTGGGGGGCACACCCATAAGCCAGGCCCTGGAGATCTTCACATCGACTCACTGGACTTGTGCATTTTGGGGTTGTCAGGGCGAGCAGCGCCCCCCAGGAGATGCAGATGGAACAGGGGGCTGTTGCTGCGACAGACACGAGCGCACTCACAGCACGGATACACGGGGTGCATGGGCACACTGGATGCACAGCGTAGATGCACTGGATGCAGGGATGCACTATTGCACAGAGTGGATGCGCGGGGTGCAGAGTGCACTGAATGCGCAGTAGAGATGCACTGGATGCACAGCAAGGAAGCAGTGGGTGAGGGACGGACTGGACATACAACAGGGATGTACTGGCTGCAGGGATGCGCTGGGTACACAGGGATGCGCCAAATGCACAGCAGGGATGCAGTGGCCACTCTGCATGGATGTAACAGGAGGAATGAGTCTGGTTTCCTCATTCCCAGAGCCTGTGGCAAGTTCCAGCTCAGTACCCAGTGCCCTCTGCACTTGTGCGCCATGCAGGGCTCCCAGCAGCACATTATGCCCTGGACTGCCCTGCCGAGGCTTGGCTTTGCTCTGTTACCTGGTGGCACATCTGCCCTCAGTGACTGTCCTGGGCCTCTGAGGCTGGAAGGCTGCAGCATTGTGTGGGACTCCAGGAAAAGCAGGTCTCCAGCAGCACAGAGGAGGCCAGGGGACTCTTCCCAGCAGGAAAGCTCCAACCTGGCTGCCTCTGCTTGTTCTCTGCAAGCCAGGTTGGCCTGGGGTGGCTTGTCACAGTGTGTCAGTATGCAGTTGCTTGTCTGGTAGCGGTGGGTGCCAGGGCTCTGTGCCTGCTGCCTCTGGGTGCTGCTCCTCAGCCTCCTCCCCACCGGCCTTTGGGAAACCTGCCATTCCCGCTCACACAGAGAGCCTGACCCCTCACCACCACAGCTGGGATGAAGTACTGGAACGAGGCAGGCCTTGTTTTACTGCGTTAGAAAGTGCCTCCTTTATCAGCCACACTGAGGCTTTTTTCCTGACAAACCACATACCAGCGGAGAGTACCAGGAACAAAATGAGGCTGCATGGTCCAGTGGTTCGAGGCAAGGCAGCGATGCCAGCAGGATTGTGGGCTCTAATCCCCTGCTGAGCTGTTGACTCACTGTACAAACTCAGGCAGGTCCTGCCGCTTTGTGCTGCGGAGAAGCCCAGCTGGAAAGTTGGGTAAATAGCAGGAACCTCTTGGAAAAAACCCCACCCCACTGCATGGGAGCCAACTTGAGGGAGGGCATTCATTTACAAATAAATGATATTTTAGCTGTCTGCTGGGATCCCTCATGAAGGCATGGCTTTCCCCTCTGGCCCTTCACTGCTGTGGATCTTTAAGGGGCAATGCTGAAGAGGTGCTTTACCTGCTGTCGAGGTGACTGTGCTGCAAGGGACATCATGTGCTGCACAGGACATCACTGGTGTATCACGCTACACTGAATTTATAGGGAACTTATATAGGAGAAAAGCTGCACCGTATTGTTGAAAAAACAATTACAACTGTAGGTGTGTGCAGGCTGCTGTGAGTGTCTGTGTTCATCTTTCAGGCCTTCAAAGGGAAAATAGTGATGGCTGCTCAGGAGGTTCTGTCATTCTCCAAAGGAAAATCTAGGAAATGTAAATGTTAAATTCCACTTTAAGTGAATTTAGATCACATAAGTCAGTGGGTGACCACACTGGCAGGGTTCTGAGCACAGATATCCTTGGTATTGCTGCCCACCACAGAGAACATTCCCCTTGGGAAACCAAGGAGCTGGAAGAAGAACACATAGAACAAATTTCCTCAGTGAATCCTTCACTCTCTTCTTGCACTGGTGCAAACAGCCCAGCTTGAACTGTCTTCCTGTTAGCACCAAGCAAAAGCCTGAAACTCTCCAACAGTCATGAAGACATGGAAAATGCAATCCATGCCCATACCTGGCTGCACAGCCCTCGGTCCCCTGAGATGAGGGAAAGAGCTTCAGTGGCAAAATAATCCCCTGTGAGCTATTGGTCACCCCAGCTGTGCTGGACTCTCTCTTGGCTATTCAATAACAAAAAATGACTTTTCCCGCATCCCTGTCAAATTCTTGCTGCTGTCATGGGAGCAATGGAGATACCTGCTCTAGTCACATGTGGTAGATGGAGTGGTGGGGAGGGGACAGAAAGAATTGTTTTTTCCCCTCAGAAAACACTGAAGAAGTATAAACTTTAAAAGGTTTTCAAGAGCTTAACTGAAATTTTAAAGAAATTTAAAGGAGCTGCCATTTGTTCAGTTTTTTTTTTTTTCAGCTATGTCAAATACATTTCCAGAAGAAACAGTTGTTTTAAACCCCAAAAGCAGCCGTCATGCAGCTGGGTGGAACTGGCCCTCTGCCTGTCCATCAGACACTGGGGACCTTTGGTGCCCAGTGGTGCACAAGGGAGACCTTTGAGCCTTACGCAACAGCAATGTGAATGGAGGAAGCTGCAAGCCCTGGGAAGCTCCATGGAAAACCTTCTTTCTCTTGGGAGTCAGGTGGTTTTTGGAACCCAAGTGAGGATGTCCTGACCAGATTCCCATTGTCCAGCAGAATCAACTTTAAACAGCATAAGAAAACACAAATGAATGAGAACCCAGCATAAATTGCAAGGGCTGGCAGATGTTTTATGGTTCAGTGTTAAGACAGGTTTGGACACGAGGCTTTTGCCAGATTTTTGGCAGTCCAGAAAGCCTACTGCATCCTGGGCAGCATCAGAAGAGGAGTAGGCAGCAGGGAGAGGGAGGGAAGTTTGGCCCTCTGTTCCACTCAGGTGAGACCCCCCCCCCACAGTCCTGCCTTCAGCTCTAAGACTCCTTGCGCAGGAATGTCATGGAGCCGTTGCAGTGAGTCCAGAGGAGCCCATGGAGATGCTCCAAGGGCTAGAGCCCCTCTGCCCTGGAGACAGACTGGGAATGCTGGAGGTGTTCAGCCTAGAGACAAGAAGGCTGTGGGGAGACCTCAGAGCCCCTTCCAGTGGTTTAGGCTCATAAAAATGAGAGAGAGCTTCCCTGTGAGGGTGGCGAGGCCCTGCCACAGGTTGCCCAAAGAAGTTGTGGCTGCCCCATCCCTGGAACAGTCCAAGGCCAGGCTTGGAGCAACCCAGTCTAGTGGAAGGTGTAGGGGGCTTTCCAACCCAAACCATTCTGGGACTCTATGATTTTATCTCCTTGACAGCTTCCAAGCTCTTTTATTCCAGCAAGTTTTCTCCTCTGCAGTGACTTTGCTTGGCTTTATGGGATGGAAAGCAAAGACGATCGGCACATCCTCAAGTAGTACCTCTGGAATGTATTTCTACAGGGAAACCTGCTCTTCCTTGAAGGAGATAGATAAGAGGGGTGCAGCTCAGGATTCGGCTTCTGGGTGCAGCTATGGAAAGGAAACCTCCTCTGAGGAAGAGCACCTTGGATCACCACCTTTCAAGCCCAAAGTAAACTGTTAATCAGCCCTTGCAATCTTGGTGTTAGAGAAGCCCATCTCCAGTTATTAACCATCACTGCTAAGGATTCTTCATCAGACTGACAGACACGGGGATGCATCAAAAGCTGATGTGGAGCTGTGTTCTTCCTCACTATCAATGCCAGGTGAAGGTGCACGTGCGTGCTGGGACAGGAGGCCCTGCCCGGCACAGGGCTCCAGAGCTGCCTGTGAGCCAGAGCTCAGACTCTGCAGAGGTGCTGGGGGCACCCAAAGCCTTTATTCCATAAAGCCTAGCAGCATGGAAAAAGGGGTGTGCCTATCTTTGCGCTTTTGGGAAGAGGTTATTTTGGGAATCCCTGCCTGAGCTGCTGCTGGTGCTGATGCTCTGTGATAACAACCTTTCATGCCTCTCGCTTGTTTATGCAGGGAATGAAAAGGCCCTTTGTGCAGCTCCGGACTCTGGCTGCCAGCTGGGATCAGTGAGACGCTCCCTGTGTGCTCCTCGGCTCCATCACCCCCCCCCCAGCAAAACTGGGCCCAGAGGGAGGAATGGGGGTGCCTATGGGGTCAGGAGAGCTGCTGAAATTGGCACCCTGCAGGAGAGGGAGCACAGCTCCTCGCCTCCAGCTCCTAGGCACCTTCTACCCTTCACATGTTTTGGGTGCTGGGAACAAGGTGGTGAGCTCAGTCAAATGTTTCCATCCAAAGAAAACATTTCCAGCTCTTGTTGCCATCTTCCTCCAGGCTGTTTGAGTAGACTCCCAAGCTCAAAGAAGTCCCTGGGACTGAGATGTTGTCAGAGACTGTCACCAGGTCTGATGATCAAGCCCTTATTATCCCTGCATGTCTGGACCCCTGAAGTCCTGGGGGATGAGCAGGCCTCCCACTGCCTTCATCATCTGCTTCCCAAAGGTTACCAAGGACCTATTCCCGAAATGCCATCAGTACCTGCTGGCCTTCAGACAGTTGGGATACTGCAGATAGTTATGCGCATGGTGGAAAAACAGGGATAAAAGGGGCAGAAAATGCCTTTTTTTAGTTATTCAAAGAGATTAATGACCCGTGTCACAGTTAGGACACATCCTACCTGCTGCCTTGTAGGGGTAGGAGGATTACAGTGGGAAGCATTG